TGCACAACAGTTTCGAGATCTGAATGAAATCAATACTCAGATCAAATATAGTTGCCATGACTACTACCAGAACTGCAAAGTTACTTTTTAAAAAGTTGTTAGTTACCAGGGACCCAGCAGTCAATTGTCATTATGGTTGCAGTTTATAGAACTAACTCTTATTTTCTTCTCTCTTTAAAGCAATTAAAATAGTTGTGGCTATTGAGCATGTTACCCATTACTATAAAAGTAGAATTACAGAATCTTAGAGCTGAAGGGACAATATCTAGTCCAAAACTCTGCTATGTAGAAATACACAATGCTTGAAAGAGGTCTGATTAAAGACCTCCTAAGAAAGAGAGTAATGAGAAAGATATGCAGCAAATAGTGGTAAAGTTATTTTTCATTAAGTTTCAGTTGTTATGTCACTGACTTACACCTTTGTTATTTGGAGGGAAGGACTTAATAACAATTCACAAGTTATTGGTAAACAAGTTACTTCAAGCAATGCTGTTGATAGCATTATGCTCTATGAATTTGTCAAATCCTCTTTTAAAGCAGTCCAAGCATTACATTGTGTGGCAGTGAATTCCACAGACCAACTCTGTGCTACATGAAGAATTGCTTCCTTTCTACTCTCGGCTCTGTGTGCCCTTCTCCATCAAATCTGGCCCATTTTTGTGTTTGCCTTGTTAAAGGAGATTGTGATTTCAACAGGGCCCATAAAACAAATCTTTTGTCAAAGATATGATGTTCCCAGAGTGCAGCTAGTTAAACATTTCAGTCACATACAAACGTTTCAGCTTCAGTTGAAGCTGAGGTCAGCTGGAGCCTGACACAGTCCCTCTGCCTCTTCTTTCTCTAGCAGTGCAAAACTTAATCGCTGCCATATTAAAATGAGTTAACACACTGTGTGGAGTCCCTGCTCAGGCTGTGCACTACTGCTTTAGCATTCTAATAAGAATGAGCTGTTTAGTGATTTTACTTTTGCCTTCAGGCAAGGCAGACTGGAGTATGTTTACCTTCTCAAAATTGGATGCTGTTTTCTGCCTGTAGCTTTTCAGAGGATTCGGTAAGAATTACAGCAAAGGAACAAAGAGCAAACACTCAATCATTCTTGACACCTGTCTCACTTTGCAAAGGAAGGATTCAAGGGATGTGGCTGACTCCTCTTGCAGACTCAAGTCCTTACAGAATGAATGGATTATTACAATATGTATATGAAAAACATACATATAATTGTGCAGGAAGATTGCTGAACATCTCTTCAAAATTGGTGCTAGATGGGCACAGCAGTTAGCATTATTTGTCTGCTGGCTTTTAATATCGTTTAAGGGGAGGAGGAAAACCATAGCTGTATTATAACAGAAAATCATATTGCCGCTCAGGGAGGAATGGATTTGGTCATACAGTGCACAAGAAGAACCTGGATGTCACAGTGGAAGAAGATATTACATAAATGCAGAAAGGAAGTGAGTTTTCTACTGCAGAATAACTACTCATCAGATACATACCTTGGCCCTTGTAGTCAGTTGTTGTTGTTGCCATTGTTCTACAGACGTGTGTTTTATTGTATAAACTCAATAAAAAAAATTAGAAAAGAATAAGAAAGGAAGTGAGTTTGCAGTTTAAGTATCCCAGTATATCAAAAATGTGTATCAGTGTATCATAAGATGTCATGCCCAAGTCAGCGTGTATCGGTGTAGAAGTTAAGAACATTGAACTTGGAGCTGGTTAAAATATCAGATCAGACATGAACTCACCTCATTACAAGTCAGAGGTATGGAATATGTGGTTCTGCAGATGTTGCTGGATTGAAACTCCCATGATCCCTTACCTCTGGTTAAGGCTGATGGGAGTTGCAGTCCAATAATAGTCTGGAGGGCCACATGTTCCCTACCTCTTCTGTAGTCAGCGTTTCAGCTTCAGATTGCCATCTGTGATATGTGAAATAATTAGAGAATCTCAGTGCTTTTATAAGAAGTAAGAGACAAATCATGCATATCTAATACTGTAAAGAAAGGTTTCCAAAGCCTGAAGACATTCGTACATTTGCCTGTCTCCATGTGTGTTTGCCTGTAGTTTCATCAGGCAGAGGCATCTCCCCAGCTTCCCTCTCCGTATCAAGAATAATGGGTGAATTTTTAGGGATAGCACCTTTTTAGTGGTAGTACCCCAGTCTCTGAAAGCTCTCCACACAGAGGCTAGTTTGACCTCCACCATGATGATTGATTCTCTAGGGTCAAATTAAGACCTTTTTTGTTACCTCTGACTTTAAACTTTTATTGATCCACTTCACTGTGCCTTATATTGTTTTCAGTGAATGGTGGGGCACACACTTTAATAACAAATACAACATTCTCTACATGGTTGCAAGAAAGATCAATCACAGCTTCTTTGGACAGCATTTGGTCTTTCGTTATTTGGGATTAAAACCAACCACAAACTTGCCATTTCCCATGCTGCTGGGAGATTCTAGGAGTTTTGAAAATCCAAAATTTTTGGAAGTCTAAAACATTTGAGGGGCCAGAGGTTCCCCATTCCTCTTTGACTTGTTCCTTGCCATCCTATGGAGTGGGTGTATAACAGAGCCAGGATAGAAAAGGGCAAAAGAAGCTCAGCTTGCAAGTATCTTGTCTTAATTTAAATTGTAAGATAAAGTTTATATGACTGTTCCCTCCCCAGATTTGAATCTGGAAATCATATTGAAAGATCTAGAGCCCTTTCTCACTACACACATATAGCACGATGATTCTGTTTTTACTGCCATGGCTGCCTCCTATGTCATCCTAGGGTTTGCAGTCTGGTAATGCACTAGAGGAGCTCTCTGGATGAGAATTATTAAATACCCCTTCTTAAACTTCAAATCCCAGGATTCCACAGGTTGAAACCACAGCAGTTATAGTGGAATGATAGCACTATAACTCTGAAGTGTGAAAGGACTGTAAGATTGTGCACAAAAGAAATCAGGGCTGAACTTTCTTCTGTTCCCCTCCCTTCCCCTATGCAGTGTGAATTTTCCTTAGGTTTAATTGTGACTTGGTGTTTTGAGTAGGTTTGAGTGTTGGACAATGGACGTTATCACACGGGGAGCTCTGAACAGAAGCTGGCTTTAAAGCGAAAGTGCTACCGCAAAAGCAGAAGCAATTAATTAGCCGGCTTTCCCCGTGTGAAAACCTCCTGTGCATTTAAAAGGAGGTTACTCCGAACGGAAAGTAGGCAGAAACTGCTTCTTTTTATTTTCGGAAGATCCCCAAAAATAAAAAGAAGCAGTTTCTGACTACTTTCTGTTCGGATTAACCTGCTTTTAAATGCGACGTCGTCTGAAAATATACCCGCTTTTGTGGGTTATTTTCAGTTTAAACCCCCATTTCCTCACAGGATTTCCCCCGTGTGATAACATCCTATGAGTTAAATCCCCGCTTAGTCATGAAAACTCATTGGGTGACCTTAAGCAAGTCACACTCTCTCAGCCTCAAAGAGAGGCAAAGGCAAACCCCATCTGAACAAATCTTGCCAGGAAAACTCTGGCATAGGTTCACTTTATGGTTGCCATTAGTCAGAAAGGACTTGAAGACACACAATAACAAATCAGCTGCAGATTCATCTTTCCCATAGATCACCCCCATTAGCAGCAATGAATGGTAATCTAGAATATAAATTTAAATCCTGGGAATGAAGCTGGTTAGCAAACCCTGGTTCTACACAATCTTCCCTGCATTTTCTTTACGTATGGTCAGGTCCATAGCTGATCACTTATCTGTTAAGCTAGGGATGGACAAGCTTTGGCCTTCCAGATGTTTTGGACTGCAGTTCTTACAGTTCCTACCTTTGGCCACACTGAGTGAAGCTTTTGCGAGTCAAAGTCCAATATATCTTCTTAAGAGCCAGAAGCTTTCCACGCCTGTGTTAACTAGACTGAAGTGAGCAGGGCATTTATATCTGCATTAATTTCATGAGAAAACATTTCCACAGAGCACTTGGGGAAGGGGGAAAAAAGATAAAAAGAAAGAAAAGAGAGAGAGAAAGAGAAGAAAAGAAAAGAAAAGAAATGGGGGGGGGGGAAATGAATTAGGGATAAATTAACAATATTATACCTTTTTGGAATTGTGAAAAGTATATGGTGAAAAGAAGACAGTAAGAAGAATGAAGATATTAACAACAATTTTATGTATTTTTTATTTACTGATTTAATCAATATTAAATGGTTTGATATGATTAGATTTAAATAAGGCAGCAAAGAATGAATAATTAATATGATTTACCATATATATTTGGAATATTATGTAAAGTTTTTAAAAAAAATATTATTGTAAGTAGATTATAATACTAATAAAGAATTTTATACCCCCCCCCCCCCAAAAAAAGAGAAAACTTCCACATAGGGCTCCCAGATCTCAAGGGATGTCCCTCTTCCTTCACTGTGCAGCATGAGGGGGAAATCCTGGGGCAAAAGCTCTGCCTTAACATAATTTTTGAAAATCTGTGTGGGGCTGACCACCACAGCTTATCTGATTTTGCACAGTTCTGTAGGCTCCCTTGGAGTTCTGCCTGACTACCTCCTTTCTTCCTCCCTCAAAGTTTTTCAAGACACTGCCAACATCAGGGGCTCTTTTCCGCTAACTGCACAATTAGAGAGCTACGGCTCCACAATAACTATCTTCTGCCAAAAGGAGACGTTTGGGGAGCAGTGGTGTCACCGCTCCTTAGGGTGTCA